ATCATAGTGGATTGAGTATTCATCCTGGTGCTACTAAAATGTACCATGATTTGAAGAAGTTGTTTTGGTGGTCGGGAATGAAAAAGGAAATTGCCGAGTTTGTGTATGCTTGTTTGGTTTGTCAGAAGTCGAAGATTGAGCATCAGAAACCGTCAGGATTGATGGAACCGTTGTTTGTTCCAGAATGGAAATGGGATGGAATCTCTATGGATTTTGTGTCTGATTTGCCAAGGACATCGAAGAATTGTGATTCTATCTGGGTTATTGTTGACCGATTGACGAAATCTGCTCACTTTATTCCGATAAGAATGGATTATCCGATGGAAAGGTTGGCAGAATTGTATGTTGAGAAGATTGTGAGTTTGCACGGTATTCCTTCTAGTATTGTGTCGGATCGAGATCCGAGGTTTACATCTAAATTCTGGACGGGATTGCAAGAAGCTTTGGGTACTAAGTTGCGTTTGAGTTCCGCTTATCATCCACAGACATATGGTCAGACAGAGAGAACGATTCATTCGTTGGAAGATTTGTTAAGAGCTTGTGTGTTGGAGAAAGGTGGAGCTTGGGATAGTTATCTACCATTGATTGAGTTTACCTACAACAATAGTTTTCATTCGAGCATTGGTATGTCTCCGTTTGAGACATTGTATGGTAGGAGGTGTCGGACACCGTTGTGTTGGTATGAATCTGGAGAGAGTGTTGTGATTGGACCGGAAATTGTCCAAAAGACTTCAGAAAAGATTAAGATGATTCAGGAGAAGATGAGGACTTCTCAGAGTCGTCAGAAAAGTTATCACGATAAGAGGAGGAAAGATCTTGAGTTTAGCGAAGGAGAACATGTTTTTATGCGAGTTACTCCGATGACTGGTATTGGTCGAGCTTTGAAGTCAAAGAAGTTGACTCCATGTTTTATTGGTCCGTTTCAGATTACCAAGAGAGTTGGGAAAGTTGCTTATCAGATTGCTTTGCTGCTGTCACTTGCAAATTTGCATGATGTTTTTCATGTATCTCAGCTAAGGAAGTACATTGCTGATCCGTCTCATGAGATTCGGGTAGACGATATACAGGTACGAGAGAATTTGACTGTGGAAGCGGTACCTGCGAGAATTGAGGATCGGAAGTTGAAACAGTTGCGAGGCAAGGAGATCGCGTTGGTAAGAGTGGCTTGGGGAGGACCAGCAGATGGAAATGTCACTTGGGAGCTGGAGAGTCAGATGAAGGACTCGTATCCCGAACTGTTCGTCTAAGGTATGTTTTCGAGGACGAAAACTCTTTTAGTTGGGGAGAGTTGTGACACCCCAAATAATCCGATTATTAAATAATTAGAATTTTTAATTATTAATTTAATTGGAAATTTAATTATTGGTATTTTTGGATTATTGGAATTAATTTAATTAATTAAAGGAAAGAAGTATTGGTGGTGTGAAGAGTGATTAGAGGGTGTGAGGGGTAAAATACTCTACTCTTACTAATTACTAATTTAATTATTTTATTGGAATAATAAAAGGAGTATTAAAAGGAAAAAGAAGAGAAAGAGAGTTATTTTGGAATATTCATCATATGTGCATTTGAGAAGAGGAAAAAGAAGGAGAAAACCGGAAGCGTCAGAATTCGAAGAACCCACAAGGTAAGGGGTGATTTCGATTAGTTAATTCGTATTATCGGTTTAGATATTCAATAGTATGGATCATAGTATGTTAGGGAATCCCGGTTTGTAATTCTAGGGTTCCGTAGAATTGTCCCTATTGCGTCGAGTTGTAGGTTGAAAACCATTAGGGTGTCAGATGATAAAAAGGAATGATGAAATAATGTTGTTTGATGTTATAATGGTGCAAAATGGATGTGTTTTGGTGTTTCTCATGTTGCAAATCGTATGGGTATGTTTGTAATTGGTTTAGAATGAATAAATGCTGTCAAAAGTGCAGAATTTGACTCTGCAGGTCGTGGGAACCGGTTCCCAGTGGGGAGGAACCGGGTTCCACTGTGTGAATTTAGAAAAACTGGCAAAAATGCACGTAGGAACCAGTTCCTGTATAGGTAGGAACCGGGTTCCCATACATTTTCCAGAAGGGTGATTTTTGAGCTTCGCAGGAACCGGTTCCTGCATATGTAGGAACCGGGTTCTGCTGTAACTTTTTGAAAAATATTAAACTTTGAAAATTCATAACTTTCAAATCGTAAGTCTGTTTTGAGTGCCGTTTTGGACGTTATTTCTTAAATTTAATGCTATATTTTATAAAATGAAAAGATTTCCTAAAACCTGAAATTATTCTGAAAATGAGTCAAATCCCGGAATAAGTGATTATTGGCTAACGCACATGGGTGTGTATGTGGCAGTGAACCTGTGATGGATGGATGTATTAGTATTGTGTGAATGAAATGCATGTTTATGTTGCTAATGATGGTGTGCATGATCGTTGAGATATCATGTTTTTGGTTTTGGTTCAGTTATGATAAATTGATGTATTTCATAGACTGATTTGATGTTGCATGCTAGTGATGTGCGTGCATATGCATTGTTTTGGTGAAGTTAATTCCTATTATATGGAATTTGACTTGTATTGCCGTTAACCGATACCCGGGTGATGATGGGTGGTTAGGCTGGATTCGTGTCCAGGTGTTTATGGACGAATCGATGGTTGCTGTATCCGGTTGATGATGGATCAGTGTTGGGTGACTTGGTCACGTGTTGGTACCACATGCATTGTGTCTGCATTTGTGTTTGCATGGAATTGTAACATGTTAGGATGTCTTCCAGTGTTACAATTCTTTGGTTGATTATTGATTTGTGCATAATGACTGGTATGATTGGAACTGCGTGTTGAACCTGAATTTATGCTAAAATGGGTGAAATAATATGCTTGTGATATAATGTTGATTGAGAAACTTATAATGCATGTTAATTATGAGAAATCTCACCCTTACTTTAACAATTTCAGATTAAAGTTACCAGCTCAGGAGTTGGTGAGGATGACTCTAGAGCTATGTTACTTTAAGTCCGCGTGTCAGTGTCGTGCTCTGATAGGTTGTAACACTGGGGAACGTTTAGTTGAGGAATTAGTTATTATTCAATTGTTTCTTTGAATTTCATTGGGAATAATTATGTTTTGGTTTATTCCGTTTTGGTTATGGTATTTTTCCGCTGTGTAAGACATGGTCTTAATTTGATTGAATTATTTAAATAATGACCCTCAGTGTAGCATGACTACTGTTTTATTGGAAGTTTTATTTATTTCATAATTGTGACATCCCTTGTTCCGTGTTAACTCTGATGGAATATGTCTTTAATAATTGATATAATTAATATTATTCGGGGTATTTTAGAAGGGGTGTTACGTGGCTCGTTATTGATTAGATCTTATGTGAAATGGGTACGTCTGAAAATATACTCCTAAATAGGGGTGGTAAAACAGGCTGTCCGCCCCACCCCGTCTTAAACCCGCTAAAAAAAGAGCGGGACGGACAAACGTCAAACGAAAATGAACATAAAAATATAGCTCGCCCCGCCAATGTGGCGGGTTGGCGAGCGGCGGGCTTGTCCACTTTCTTTTTTATTTATTTATTTTTCATTTTTTAATATATAAAAAGACTTGTTTTTTACATTTTAATTAGATTTTTCACTATTTTTTAGAACAATTTTTTTATAAAATATCTTTTTAACAAAATTTACTTAAAAAAATATTGCATATGTTCACAAATAAATGTATAAAATAAAACCATCAAGAATTGGACTTAATAAAATTAACTAAAAAATGATGGACTTAAGGTGGGACAAGCTGAACGAATAGCCGCGACAAACTTTGACAGACGGCGAGTTTTTGGCGGGGCAGACTTTGCGGGCGACGGTCTTTAGCGGAACGGGTTTTGGTGAACTACAGGGCCTAAATCTCAACTCAATCCATCATTTTTTGGCAGATGTGCGGACCGACCCGACGAACCACAACCTGTTTTACCACCTCTACTTCTAAATTTGTAGATGTATTTTTATATTTTTTATATAATGCAATATTCATTTTTCAAGATGATGTTATATCAAATTCATTTTGTATAAATCAAAGACTAATTTTAACATTCATTAATAGAAATACTCATTATTAAAAATTAAAACTTAGTTAAAATTACATAATTTTTTAAGAAAATATATACCAAAATAATATTTTATATAAAAAGTTATTTAATCTAATTTAAAATTATGTGATCATTAACAATTTTATTACAAAAAAAGTGTCATAGTAAACATCTAAAGTAATATTTTATGGAAAAGAAAGTTATTTAAATTAATTGTTTATTTAAATTCTATTATAAAAAAAATTTATATATATATTTTTAACAAAAATATGTAATAATATAAAATCATTTTTAAAAGGGAAAATTACACTAATCTCCTTTAAAGTTTATTAAAATAGCACAAACACCTTCTCTAATTTTATATTATACACTAACCTCCTTTGAGTTTTATTAAAACAACATTGACACTTCCTCTCTAATTTTTAATAACAGCAAAAAAAACTGCTGGTATAAATGACATTTATCAATAATTTTTATCAGTCACTAAAATTTTTCGTTGGTATAACTAAATTTAGGGGAGTTAATACATATTTCAAAACTAAATAAAATGTTTGTCATTTTAGCCAACCTCTGAAGAGGTAATGTAATTATCCCTTTTTAAAATCAAATCGAAACAAACAGCCCTTTATATAATTTAGCAAGATAGAGATTATGCGAGTAGTTTATTGGTAACAATTCTTACTACATTAATTGCAAATGATAGCTAAATCATGGCTGATCAATTCTAATATTAAATGCAATAAATCCAACAATTACTTTCAATATTCAACTTTAATATATATAAATGACACATAATAGAGTCTAAAACCGAACAATTCTTACAAACATAACCATGTGAACAAACCTTATCCCAAACAAAAGTGTTTTGTCTAAAACAGTACATGCAGTTATTAACAAATATTCATTGCTTCAGTGATTTTAAGTTTCAAAAAATGAGTTCAAAGACATTGATGAATATGTTACTGTTGTTAATTTTGACATTGTTGGTTGGTTTGAGTAATGGTGAATGTGAATTCAAAGCAATCTTTAACTTTGGAGATTCAAATTCAGATACTGGTGGATTTTTCGCAGCTTTTCCTGCTGAAGCTCCTCCCTTTGGAATGACTTATTTCAAGAAGCCAGTTGGTCGGGCTTCGGATGGCAGACTCGTCATTGATTTCTTAGGTAATCTTGAGTAGTAATCAAAATGTATTTCATATGTTATCATTCCTTATGATTGTGGACATGAAGCCATGATTCATAGAGATATTCTAGCTTATGCTTCTACTTTATTCCTTTTTTTTCCCTTCTCATAAGATCTCTTAATTATTGTAAAATGTGCATTTTGTTTGAATCAAATTGAGTTTACTGGAGAGGGGAATTTGAAACTTTGACAGATTAAACAGGCGGATCCGGTCCCAATGCATTATGAAGTTTAATAGCATATTCGTCCCGTTTAGATCTATCCTTCTAAAAAACTGGACAACCTAACATTTTAGTTTATTTGATTTTGCAGCTCAAGCTATTGGAATTCCATTTTTGAGTCCATATCTACAATCAATAGGATCTAATTTTAAACATGGAGCCAACTATGCTACATTGGCATCCACTGTGCTTCTTCCTAATACTTCTTTGTTTGTATCTGGAATTAGCCCTTTCTTCCTTGCTATTCAGTTCAACCAAATGAAGCAATTCGTCACCAAAGTTGAAGAAACTGATCAACAAGGTACAAAATGTACAAACTTCTTAATCTAACTTATTATAGACGCCGTTCTTACCAAAAACATAGTATACATGTCACCAATAATTTTGAATGTGCTAATTTTTACTATTGTTGTTCAGGTACGAAACTTCCTTCGGCAGATATATTCGGAAAATCTCTATATACATTCTATATTGGCCAAAATGATTTCACTTCAAAGTTAGCAGACATCGGCACAGGTGGAGTGGAAGAGTTTCTCCCTCAAGTTGTTTCACAAATTGCTGGAACCATTAAAGTAAGAGTAACTTATGTCTATTAGTTAGTCACGAGACACAACACCAACTTAGTGTGTGTTGTGTGTTCTTTTGATATGCGGTGACAAAAATTGATTTTGTAAGCTAAAACAACAAATGATTGATTATTAACATGAATTTTTGCTTACTGAAATTTATAGGAGCTATATAATCTTGGTGGAAGAACATTTATGGTGCTTAATCTTGCACCAATTGGGTGCTACCCTTCATTCTTAGTAGAGCTTCCTCATAATAGCACAGACCTTGATGAATTTGGATGCATGGTTTCTTACAACAATGCTGTTGTAAACTATAACAAGATGTTGAAAGAGTCATTGAAACAAACCAGAGAAAGTTTATCAGATGCTTCTGTCATTTATGTGGATACCTATACTGTTCTATTGGAGCTTTTCCAACATCCTTCTTCTCATGGTTCAAACACTCATCTCTCAACTTGATTTCCCAAAATTTTATTTTCATTAAATTTAGTCCTTTGAATATTTTAATCCACCTTTTAAAGTTTTTTATGATACATATTTTGGTTACTGAAAACTATCTCGTGTCACTGACACTTGTGATTGAAAGTCTGTTAGGTGTCATGTGTCTGATCTAATAATATGTGTTAGGTGTCAGGTGTCTGACATCCAACACATGTTGTTGATGTGCCTTGCCAGATGTCTGATTTTTATGTTTTTGGATTTTTGAAACAGGACTTGAGTATGGCACAAAAGCATGTTGTGGATATGGAGGTGGTGAGTACAACTTCAATCCTAAAGTTTATTGTGGAAACACTAAAGAGATAGATGGGAAAAAAGTGACAGCAAAAGCATGTCATGACCCTTACAATTATGTGAGTTGGGATGGGATACATACCACAGAAGCTGCAAATAAGCTTATAACATATGCTATACTTAATGGATCATATTCTGATCCTCCTTTTGCATTTCAACAACATTGTGATCTTCAACCAATAGGTTGATTCATTTCAACAACATTGTTTCTTATCTCTTTATCATTGTTAATAACAAATTGAAGTATGTCGAACTAGCTCGTCATGTTTGCATAATTTTTACCATAAAACTGGAAAAAGAAAAAACTGTGTGATAATGTCAATTACAAATCACTAAACAGATCTTCTTAGTAGAGCTTACCAACTCCAGAAAACACATCCCCCATTCACATTCCTATTAACTAAACATCCACCTGAAAGGATGCAGTCCTTGGAACTAAACAACATCAAATATAATAGTCACAACCCTTCATATTAATTGTGCAAATTAGGAAAAGACTGGCTCTCGAAAAGCTATGTTGTAGTATTTTAAAATTATCTACATAAATTTCACTTTTCATCTTTTCATTTTTGTTCCATTTTTTTGGTTCTTATCAATAAGCCTAGGCCACCCATGACCAAGTTGTACACCCGCATGTAGCGATGCCCAAGGAGTGCAGGGTCAAGAGATGCGAATCAGAGGGTGTGACCCTTGGCTAGCAGACACACCCACTCGAAAGGATGCAGCCCTTGGAACCAAACAACATCAAATCTAACAGACACAACCCTTTAGATTAATTGTATCAATTAGGAATAAATGTTAAATGTAATATAAGTAGAAGCAAACCAGAATTAGGAAACCATTCAGAAAAATTAAGAAGAATTTGAATTGTGGAGACACAGACTCTCAAAAACCCGTGTTGTAATATTCCAAAAATTATCTACATAAATTTCAGTTTTCATCTTTTCATTTTTGTTATTTATATATATATATATATATATATATATATATATATATATATATATATATATATATATATATATATATATATATATATTTTGTTCTAATCAATAAGCCTAGGCCATCCATCACTAAATTTTACCCGCAAGCAGCGATGCCTAAGGAGTACAGGGTTGAGAGGTGCAAATCAGGGGGCGTGACCCTTGGTGAACAGACACACCCACTCAAAAAGATGCAGTCTTTGGAACCAAACAACAACAAGTCTAAGAGACACAACCCTTTAGATTAATTGTGTTAATTAGAAACAGATGTTAAATGCAATATAAATAGAAGCAAACTAGAATTAGGAAACTATTCAAGAAAATTAGAAAGAATTTAAATTGTAAAGACAGGTTCTCGAAAACCTTTGTTGTAATATTCCATAATTATCTACATAAATTTCTATTTTTATTCTTTTCATTTATGTACCATTTTTTTGGTTCATATCACACTCAATCACAAATTTTTAATTAATTAAAAAATAAATATAATATTTTTTCTTTCCTTTATAATTACAATCACTCCATAAATCCAATTAAAAAAGAAATTAAAATTTAAATAAATTTAAAATTTTCGCTATTCTTATTGGTAGTTTATAAGAATAGTGATTTATTGTTGTTTCCGTGTAAGAATTCCTCATGGTCAGATAATCAATATTCATAATATAATATATTAAATTTTATACTAAGAACCAATTTGTAATTAGACACAAGCATTTTAATAGACACCCAACCCCTTTTGTTGTAGCCCAACTTACTGGTTGTGCTGGGATATGATCAAACACTTAACATCCTTATCATTCAACTACTTAACTTCTTGCTTGCAATGTGTCTCAGAAGTAAAAATATGAATGGTTTTCATTCAGAATCATAAACATATATATAAGATTTGCTGCATTATTTTCAACAATGAAATGGATTAATACAAAGTTGATACTGATAGAGATTGAGCAATTCTATTCTATATCAAGGAATACAAATGGCTCTCATATAACAAGACATACAGCAAAAAAAAAACAAATGATGAGCAAGGAACATCAACTTGACTTGCAACTAATACAGTTCTATTCAGTTCCGGCAATTTTCTTTTTCAGTGCCTCAATATCCGTTGCTAGTTCCTTTCTGCTAGACTGCATAGAAAAACAGTTATATCATATATGAGAAATATACTGTGTAATACATGCACGATTATAAATAGAACAACTAATCATATTCTGATTGCAGAAAGACGATATCCAATGCAATGAAAGAAAGTACACATAGACATTGTTATATAGTCTGTCATAAAATGCGAGAAATTTATGCTTGCAACCTAAGCGAAATACATAAAAACAGCAATTACATATGTATTTTACTAGTTGAATTCATTGATAATCATGCTAGTTGGGAATTTGTTGAATTTCTCATTTTTCAGAAAACAACATATTGATGAACGAATATGCATTTGGCATACCTTAAACAGAAGGTACCGGTAGACAAACCATCCAGTGTACCCTAGTCCTACCAACTCCATAATCTTTGGAAGCTGAAAAAAAAAATAAACATGTTTCACATAGGTTCGAACTTCAAAATGCCTTAAAGAGCAGAAAACAGAAGCATTGCATTTGACGGTAGTCAATGAAAAAGAAGTGAATTCTGGCTTACCAAGGGGACAGAGTTGATGGCACCTACAAGAATTGAAGATAACCAAACAGCAACTAAACCACCACCACCATACAGAAGCACTGTGGACTTGTTTTCAAGACCATCCCACTGATAACGAAAAATGCAGGAAGATATAGTTTTTACTTTGTTAGTAATATTGTAAAAGCCATTACGGTTAGCACCGACACTTCAATTTAAAGGCGTATCTCTTATAGACACCACTTCAATGTATTATGGATTTGACAGAAAATAAAAACTCAAGATGAAAGCAACAAATTATATAAGCTTCTTGCCTTCTCCTTCAATTCGGTAAACAACTCATTGGTATCGAGAGAAGTGGATGTATCATCAGAAGAAGAAGCTCTAGTCTGATGCAGAGAAAACTTCCGCGACTCTAAATTGGAGGAAACAAGAAAATAAACAAAAGAATATGAGGAACTAGCACTTTGAACTGAACATTAAGTGTGTGTTTGGTTATGCAGTGGGAAAAAAATTGATTCTATAAAACCGATTATACTTACACATATGCACCTAAAATTGATAATTGAAATAGAAAGAATACCTGAAAAGTGTTTTTGGAAAGGGGAAGAAGAAGGAGTGGTTGTGGTGGAGAGGCGAGGAGGAGGGAGATAAGGGAAAGCAGAGCAGCGAGTGGTGGTGATCAAGAGACGAGGGAGAGGAGGAACTAACACTGTGCTTGTGCTTGCTGCCATTGCCATTATTTTCTGTTATCCTTTCTCTGCTTCGTTTCTTTAGATTGAATTTGAGATGAAACTTGGTTTGTTATCCACACTCTAATGTGTTTTGAGGCACTGCTTTTCAGTGCTTCACACGTGGATCAATCTCAGCTTTTTATTGGTTGATTATCTATCTTCAAAATCCAGATTGCAAATTTTTTTTTTTTCATTTTTCGTTTTCCTTTTTGTTTGGGGTTAATTTGTGAATTTTTTTAATTAATTGTTTTTCTTAAAAAAAAACTCAAATACCCATGTTTTCAAAAATTAATCGAAAGATGATGTTTTACTTTGTGGTGTATTCATTCTATTTTATACTAAATCGTCATTGTGTGTGGTTTCAAGGAAGATTAGATTTATTATGGTTACGAGTAATCTGGCTTATTATAATGGATTAAGTTTTTGTGTATAAGGCAAATCATCTTGTGGGATGGACTAGAGTAACTTAGTTAACAGTGAACTTTAGGATAAAAATAATTGTGTTCATATATTTTTATTCACTTGTTATCTTTGTGTTTTGTGTTGCAAAAAGATTATATTTGATGCAATTTAATTCAAACCTCTCTTTCTTGTGTTTCTCGCACCTTCATCAATTAGAAGGAAAAGAGTTGGTATGATACTGATAGGAGAACTAAGAACCTAAATCCAAAGATTTAAACCTACTTTCTCAAAAATATCATACATGAACCTAAGCCATGTTACATCTGAAAAAGTCCTGAAAGTGTGTGTGTTTTGATTGTTGGGATGAATTTTGTTAAAGCGCGATCAAACTCAGTATAAGCAGTTTTATATGTTGATTGAGTGATCATCATGTCAATTGAGCGAATTATAGTGAGATGAGAGACATGTTTAGTACTTGCTATAACTTGAAGAGGTTTCCTACTTTTGCCGGATTAAAGTTAGAAGCTTGAATATTGATCAGGTAAAAATAATTATGATAACACTCTGTCATTGCATATATTATATTGAAGAAACAGAGAAAATCAAGCAAAATATCACTTAATTGATGAAGAATATCCCAAGAACAGAGCAGAACAGACAAAGTATGAAGAAATAGAGACTTGGGAAAAATCTGGCTGAAAAGGACAAAATATGTGTTAATCACTGGAATAATCACGCAGGCATCACACGCAGTCACGTACTCGATGGGCTTGGATCAGCTGTATCGCACATGCGACTTAGGTGATAACAACAAATTACACCATTTATTTGACTCGATTTGTGCATGTTTTATTGTCATTTTGCTATACATTTCCACCTTTATGCTGATATTTGCGTGTCTTTCAAGTATTTTACCATTTAGCAGTCATATGCGACAAAAGGGAGCAAACCATACGAAAAACTGAAGAAATAGAGTAGTTTGCACTCAAGGCGACCACCATGGAGTTCACCATAGAGGTGGCCATGAGTGGTCCACGTCTCAACGGTTAAAAGACCAAGTCCTGTCCACTTTGAGAGCATGGTGTTCGCCATAGAGGTGTGGCGGTCGCCACATTTTCTCCTATTTTTCCTCACACCAAATCAGTAACTCCCACCAAAATTTTAGGGTTGTATTTTCATTATAAATAGGCTTTTAGCATTTAATTTCAAGGCATCCAAGCTTAGTTACAAACTTAAGCCATATATTGTCGAATTTGTAAGCGATTAATTCTTCACATCAGAGAGTTATCACACTTTTGAGTGAGTCTGTAATCGAGTTTGAAGCAACTTTTATCGAAGTTTTAATCTTTCCGTCATTTTAATTTCCGCATTCAAGTTTCATTAATCTACTTTTGTACTAGATTAAAGTCTCTCCGAAGTAGGTTTGTATTTATCTCATTATATTTATTTTAG